CATGCTCGGCATTTGTCAAGCTGAAAGAAGTGAAGAAAAAATTCAAGCTTTGAGTTGCAATACTGAAGAATTCTAAGGGGAAAATATTGAACGACGCAGGAAGCATCAAAAGAAGATGGAAGGCATACACAGAGTCACTATTACCAAAAAGAATTGGTCGACGTTCAACCATTTCAGGAGGTAGCATGTGATCAGGAACCGATGGTACTGAAGGAAGAAGTCCAAGCTGCACTGAAGGCATTGACAAAAAACAAGGCTCCGGGAATTGATGGAATACCAACTGAGATGTTTCAACAAACAGATGCAGTGCTGGAAGTGCTCACTCATCTATGCCAAGAAATTTGAAAGACAGCTACCTGGCCAACCGACTGGAAGAAATCCATAATTATGCCTATTCCCAAGAAAGGTAATCCAACAGAGTGTGGAAATTATCAAACAACGTCATTAATATCTCACACAAGTAAAATTTTGCAGAAGATCATTCAAAAGTGGTTGCAGCAATACATCGACAGGGAGCTGTCAGAAATTCAAGCCAGATTCATAAGTGGACATGGAATGAGGGATATCATTGCTGATGTCAGATGGATCTTGGCTGAAAGCAGAGAATACCAGAAAGATGTTTACCTGTGTTTTATTGACTATGCAAAGGCATTCGACTATGTGGATCATTACAAACTATGGATAACATTGCAAAGAATGGGAATTCCAGAACAAGTGATTATTGTGCTCATGAGGAACCTGTACTTAGACCAAGAGACAGTCATTCCAACAGAACAAGGGGATACTGCATGGTTTAAAGTCAGGAAAGGTGTGTGTCAGGGTTGTATCCTTTCACCATACTTATTCAATCTGTACGTTGAGCAAATAATCCAAGAAGCTGGACTATAAGAAGAACGAGGCATCAGGATTGGGGGAAGACTCATTAACAGCCTGCGATAGGCAGATGACATAACGTTGCCTACAGAAAGTGAAAAGGACTTGAAGCACTTACAGATGAAGATCAAAGACCACAGTCTTCAGTATGAATTACACCTCAACATGAAGAAAACAAAAATCCTCACAACTGGACCAATAAGCAACATCATGATAAACAGAGGAAATATTGAAGTTGTTAAGGACTTCATTTTACCTGGATCCACAATCAATGCGCATGGAAGCAGCAGTTAAGAAATCAAAGACACATTACATTGGGCAAATCTACTGCAAAGGATCTTTTTAAAGTGTTAAAAAGAAAAGATGTCACCTTAAGCTGCGCCTGACCCAAGCCGTGGTGTTTTCAATTGCTTCATGTGCACATGAAAGCTGGACAATGAATAAGAAAGACCAAAGAAAAATTGGTGCCTTTGAATTATGGTGTTGACAAAGAATATTGAATACACCATGGACTGCCAGACCAAATCTGTCCTGGAAGAAGTACAACCAGAATGCTCCTTAGAAACGAAGATGGTGAGACTTCGTCTCACGTACTTTGGACACGTTATCAGGAGGGACCAGTCCCTGGAGAAAGACATCATGCTTGGTAAAGTAGAGGGTCATCGAAAAAGAAGAAGACCCTCAGTGAGATGGACTGATACAGTGGCTGAAACAATGGGCTAAAGCATAACAACGAATGTGAGGATGGCGCAGGACCGGGTGGTGTTTCATTCTGTTGTACATGGGGTCACTATGAGTCAGAACCGACTCGACAGCACCTAGCGACAACCACATGGAAAGTACCAGAGATTCCACAGAGGCAAGGGAAGAGAGCAGCCCCACACAGTAAACTGAAACTCAGTTGAATTACCTCTATCTGACACAGCTCCTCTACCAGGTCTCTCTTCTCTTTGGGTAGGTGCTGGGCCTCCTCCCTTATTTGTTCCCCTTCCTCAGCGCTCTGCTTCCTCACTCCCGCAGACCTTTTCCTAGACGTTGGATTTTACCATCCCTTTCCCACCCACTGAATCTCTGCCCAAATTTTTTAATAATACTAAAATGTGTTAAAGTGCTTTAATTTTGCTCAAATGGGAAATATCTTAACATCATAGCTTTTTTTAAACGACTAGGATGATCATGACAGTCCCTGGGTGGTACAAGTGGTCTGCACTTGGCTATTAACCTAAAGGTTATGGGTTCGAACCCACCCAGAGGCTCTGTGGAAGAAAGCCCTGGTGATCTGCTTCCATAAAGATTGTTGGTGTTGTTGGGTGCCATCAAACTGATTCCAACCCACAGCGACCCCGAGCGACAGAGTAGAATTGCCCCATAGGGTTTACTAGGCTGTGATCTTTACGGGAGTAGATTGCCAGGTCTTTCTCCCAAGGAGCCGCTGGGTGGGTTCAAACCATCAACCTTTCGGTTAGCAGCCTAGCGCCTAACTGTTGCACCCAAGGCTGCTTCTGTAAAGATTACATCCAAGAAAACGCAACACATGGGATCGCCATGAGTGAGAACTGACTCGATGACAACAGATTTACATTGTTGTTTGGTATAGGATGATCATGGCAATTGAGCCAAAGCTGAGGATGCAAAACTGAAATATTTAATTAGTTCTTGTGGTAAATCCATTAAGTGTATAATACAGCTACTATTCCTATGTTTTACCACTTTATTGAGGTATAATTGATGTACTCTGTAAACAGCACGTATTTAAAATGCAAGGTATCTGTGCAACCATCACCACCATCAGTTTAACAAACATTTACATAACCTCTGGAAACTTCCTTGTGCCCCTTTGTAATCTATCTCTCCACCCTCATCCCCAGGAAACCACTATCTTCGGTCTGTCACTATAGCTTAGCTTGCATTTTCTAGAATTTTTAGTAAGTGGAATCATGCAGTGTGAGGTTTTTTTGTTTTGTTTTTATCGTGGTGCAAATCTGCTCAACAAAACGTTCGTCAGGTCAACAGTTTCTGCTTGCACAATTCAATGACATTGAACATACTCTTCAAGTTGTACAAACCTTCTCCCTGTCTTTTTCTTAATTCCATGAGGTCTCTTTGCCTGGCTTCTTTTGCTCGGCATAATGCTCTTGAGATTCATCCACGCTGTTGCATGTATGAGTTCATTGCTTCTTCTTGCTAAATTGTATTGCATTGTATAGAAGAATAGGCTGAATAATGCCCCCTCAAAGATGTCTACATTCTAATCCCTGAAACCTGTGATGTGTTAGCTTACATGGCAAAAGGGACTTGGCAGATGTGATTACCTTAAGCATCCTGAGATGGGGAAAGTATCTTGGGTTATCTGGTTGGGCTCAACATAAGTTAAACTAAAACCAAACCAGTTGCCATCCAGTCGATGCCAACTCATTGGTGACCCCATGTGTTTCAGAGTAGAACTGCTCCATAGGGTTTTCAAGGCTGTCACCTTTTGGAAGCAGATCGCCAGGCCTTTTTCCTAGGTGCTTCTAGGTAGGTTCAAACTACCACCCTTTTGGTTAGAATTCGAGCACTTAACTGACTGCACCACCCAGGGACTCCAAACCAGTTGCCACCAAGTCAATTCCCATTTATGGAGACCCCATGTGTTTCAGAATAGAACTGCCCTCCATAGGGTCTTCATGGCTGTGACATTTTGGAAGCAGATTGCCAGGTCTTTCTTCCAAGGCACCTCTGGATGGGTTGGAACCACCAATCTTTTGGTGAGTAACCCAGCACTTAACCATTTGTGCCACCCAGGGACTCTTTCAAGGATCCGTATAAGAGAGAGGGAGGAGGATCAAAGACAGAAAGAAGATGTAAGGATGAAAGCAGAAGTCAGAGATAAGAGAAGATGCTACGCTGCTGGCTTTGGAGATGGGAGAAGGGGCCATGAGTCAAGGAATGCGGGTGGCCTCTAGCAACTGGAAAAGGCAAAGAAACCTATTCTCCCTTAGAGCCTTCAGAAGGAACACAGCCTGCCGACACCTTGATTTGGGTCCAGTCAGACTGATTTTGGACTTCTGACCTCCAGAATTGTAAGATAATAAATTTGTGTTTTTAAGCCACTAAGTTTGTGGTAATGTGATACAGTAGAAATAGAAAACTAATACGAAATTTAGTTTATACCACAATTTGATTATCAATTCATATCTTGACTGGGAGAGGGCATGAGGGGGACTTCTGAGGGGCTGGAAATGTTCCCTATCTTCATCTGGATAGTGGTTACACAGTACACCAAACCAATCCAAATCCATTGCCGTGGAGTCACTTCTGACTCATACCGACCCTATAAGACAGAGTAGAACCGCCCCATAGGGTTTCCAAGGCCATAATCTTTATGGACACAGACTGCCACAACCTTCTCCTGTTGAGCGACTGGTGGGTTCAAACCGCCGACCTTTCAGTTAGCGGCTGAGCACTTAACCACTGCGCCACCAGGGATCCTCACAAGGTACACATATGCGCAAAAAAAAAACTTATCAAGCTGAACGCTTAAGATTCTTGCACTTTACTATAAATTATACCTCAATTAACAAGAAAAAAGAAAGGAGGCTATTAGGGGTGTAGGTGGAAAATAGGAGATTGTGGTTTTATAGAAAGGAAGTAATGGGTTTCAGGTAAAAGGATGTGGTCATTGTTGTCAGACACTTCAGAGAAGCCAAGTATGATATGTACAGAAAAGTAGTCAAAGAGATGGGTGGGACTGGTGAAGAGGAGAAAGATCCCTTACCCTATCTCTTTCTGGAGAATTCTGGAGTCCTCTCTCAGGCTATCTTCTTCCATATCCCCCGGTTGTCCTGGAATTTCCCTCCTATAGGAGTGCTCCAAGCCTTTCTGAGCTTCTCAGTCTCTTTCTCGTGGGTTCCCCGTTGTGTAGTAAAGAATTAACTCAGCAAACTTGGGTACTCAAACTCTGCACAATCCAAAGAAAGGAGCTGGCCCTTGATCAGCTCCTGAGAGATAACCTATAAACTCTTGGAATATTCTGCCTGATAAGAGTGTCTTTGTATGCCTGGGGCCTCGGGCCATGCCAGATAGTTTATGCTAACAGTGTGTTTTATGGTGAACGTCTATTTTTTGTTTGTCCAAGGCGCTGGGCCATGCCGTATCAGCTTGACATCCCAGAGTGCTGGAGACTAAGTAATAGACCATGCAGGATGGGGTCAACTCAGCAGGTCTGGGTTGTCCAAACCCCACACATTCCAAAGACAGGCGTTTCTTCAAGACTAGCCCTTGACCACCTCCTAGGAGCTATCTCTGAGCCCTTGGAATATTCTGCTTGACAAGAGTGCTTTCGTGTGCCTGAGGTCTTGGGCCATGCTGTATCAGTTTAACCTTGAGGAGGAAGGCTGGAGACTGAATAGTTAAGATCAGTCACATGGGCACTCCATGCCTACATGACTGACCTCCAATAATAATTCTGGACACCAAGGTTCAAGTGAGCTTCTCTTGTTGACAATACTCCATGTATATTGTTGCACATTGTTACTGAAGATGTAAGCACTGCCAATCCCTGGGTGATGCAAATGGTTAAATGTTAAACTACTAACTAAACCGTTGGTGGTTTGAACCCACCCAGAGGCGTCAAATTGTTGGTGGTTCAAACCCACCCAGAGGTGCTTCAGAAGACAGGCCTGGTGATCTGCTTCTGAAAGGTCAAGCTTTGAAAACCCAATGGGGCACAGTCCTACTCTGTACACACGGAGTCCTCATGAGTCAGAATCGACTCAACAGCAGCTAACAACACCAATAATATGACTCCAATGGAAGAGGACAACTGGAAGCTCGCACAGGATCTCTCCTGGACTCTTTCCTATGCACCTTTTGCCTTTCCTGATTTTAATCTGTATCCTTTCACTATAATAAAACATAACCATGAGTATAACAGCTTTTCTGAGTTCTGTGAATCCTTCTAGTGAATCATCAAACCTGATGGTAGTATTTGGGACCCCCTAACACACCTGTATAGGTGTTTCTCAGTTTCTACATTTCTCAGAGTTCCAGTCACTTTATCTCCATTTGTTCTCTGTCTCCATCTCCATTTCCCAAATACACTCATCATCTATCTCCCAATCTGATGGTCTCTCCATACCTCGCTTTTCCAGTCTCTCCCTCTTCTCCATTTCCTTACCATCTGTATTGATTTACTAGGGTTGATGTAACAAAATACCACAAACTGGGTGGCTTATAAGAACAGAAATTTATTGTCTCACAGGTCTGGAGGCTAGAAGTCCAAATCCACATGTCAAATGGGCCATGTTCTCTCTGAAGTCTCTAGGGGAAGATCCATTCTTGTCCCTCCCAGCTTCTGGTGGCCCCAAAATTCCTTGGCTTGAAGATAGATCTTCACATGGCCATGTTTCCTCTGTCTCTCAGTATCTTTTCTCCTCTTTTGTAAGGACACCACTTGTCTTAGGCTGGGTTCTCTAGAGAAGCAAAACCAGTGAAGCATATATATATATATATAGAGAGAGAGAGAGAGAAAGGTTTGTCTTAAGGAAA